ATTGTTGTTCCCCTTCTTCTTCATCACTTTGAGTGCCAAGAAGACCTCTTTCTTCTTGGTTTCTTCATCAAACACTTAATGTAGTGTATTGTGAGTGGGGAAGGTGCATCTTTTCTGAGTTTTGGCACTGCCTTGTGAGGTGTGAGGGGCTGAGTTTTTGGTTTTAGGGTGGTGGTGTCTTATTCTTGGTGCTTGGTGCTCCAAGAAGCTACCTTTGAAGGAAGAACCAACCTTTGGTGTGTCATTTTCGTTTCCTTGCAAGTCAGAACTGTGAAGACTTGGTGGTGAGCTCCAAGAGCACCTTCTTGCTCTATTTTGAGCTTTTGGTATGATCATCACCCTTGTGATTGAGTTTCTTTGTTGAAAATGGAACCTTGATGCATGTAATGAACTAAAGTTGATAATTTAAGGTTGGGTAATGCTAAACACACCTTAAATCGCATGTTTAAGCTTCTGTATGCATGAAATGAACCACATTTGAGAAGGATATCTAGCGAAATGCAGAACTACATTCTATCGCGAAATATCCGTATATGATATCCGGATATTGATATCCGGATATGGGGATCTGAATATCCGGATATTGGAAAAGAGATATCCGGATATTGATATCCAGATATGCCCCCGACATATATCCGGATATTCTGGGTTTTCGTGAACAGTGAAGGTACTGATCATACAGAACTGAGTTATGGGTTCGTGGACCCTATATTGATGAAGTTGAACTTATGTAATGATTAATATAAATCAGAATCTAAGTGATTAAGGGCTTGTGGCTTTGTGAGAAGCCTAAAGACGTAAAACGTAAAGGAAAGGCGTTGTCTTTGTGTCTTATGCTTGTTAAACATGATTATTGATATATTGTTGGTCCGAAACAGATTGTGATTCTGCTGTGTTTGGGCTTTGAGCTAGTGCGGACTCTTGGCTTGGATTGTTAGCTTACAAGGTAAGCTTTTGTATCCTCGGTTTAGCCATTGTTGGTTCCACCATGTCCCATGGGGGGATGGTTTATATGCATGATGTTGTTTTCATGTATTGTTTTGATAAATGCGATTGAGCTGTTATATGCGAGTGACTTTATGATATGCATGTGGTGTTCCACCTATACGGTAAGCCTGAGTATGTGGAGACATACAAGATGGTGAGGCTAATGTTCCTTGTACTTATTGTGGGGTTGTAGACGTACGTCCTGTATTTCTTTGGCCAGTAGAATAGTTGAAACACACATGGCATGAATATTTGTTGCACTGCATAGTTTTGGAACTTATACTGTTAAATGCTTTTGAACTTATATTGCACGTGTAAGTGAGCTTGGGGTGGAAGATCCTTGAGGACCCCTTATCTTACTGAGATATCTTTTTAGAGATCTCACCCCACGTTTGGGGCACATATTTCAGGTTCAGGTAATGCGGGGGTTGAGACCTCTAGCGGCAGGAGGCCGGAGCTTAGCTGATTATATGTTGTTATGCTGCTTATGTTGGATGCTGGATATTGACTGTTTCCTTTTATGCTTTTAGCTTCATGATGTTATTGTTGAGACTGTTGTGGGGCTTTATTGCCTTATTTGGTGAGCATGGGGATTGTCCATGCCACTTTGACTTGACTTTATGCTTAGTTGTTTCTAGTTGTAATTAATAATGTATCAGGATATTGTCCGGACTATGTGTTGTTGGTCTGTGACTTAGATTCTCACATCTATGCTATGAGGTATTTCAGTTAGCTGTCTTTTGCATATTACATACAGGTGATGTTTTATGAAATGAATTAAGTAATTCAACTTGGTTAATGATAATGACGTCATAATTGAAAAGAAAAAGATATTCCGCATTTTTAAATTAAGCGTGGCTTAATACGATGATATGATAACAAACCGAATATATACGAGGTGTTACACTAAGCCTTCTAATTTCATGAGTATGGCGGAACCACCAACTATTAATTTCATTTTCTCATCCAAAGTACTCCATATGAGTAACAATGCTACCACAGTTTCTTCAACGACTCAAAACATTGTCCGTAATTGTGCTTTCAAAAGGTTTCTTGCAGCAGAATTGAGAGAGAAAAAGAAGAAATTGTCAACTACATGTTATCACTGCAATGAAAACCACAATTCCTTGCAGGGCAAAACCAAAGTAACACAGTTAGGGGCCAAAGAGAAAAATTCTATTAAACTGCGGAGTCAAATTAAAAAATTTGTGACCTTCAAATTTAAATTGATATTTAACAATTATTTCGAAATGATTACTCGTTTCTTTCATCAAGATTATTTATTAATATTAAGAGGACAAGCTTCAAGTAGCAATAAAGTTATTCTTTTATGACAAAAAAAGTTACGATTCGAATTCGTAAAACAGTCTTTTATACATATGTAAATCTAAGACTACGAACAAGGATTATCTTTATCCCTACCCTCGCTCATCAAGGGGTTTAATGGTGAATGATTTTTTTTACACTATAACATACACATTTTTATTTTTTGATAATATTAGGCTTTGAAAAATTCTACATATGATGACATATCAAAGCAAAGTGTATATAAAAATAAATAAACAAATGCATAAATTTATATAGGGGCGGGTTCTTTTTACACCAGTGTAAGACTAACAAGTCTTACACCACATCTCAAACGTTAATAGACGGAAATCATCGGTTGGTATTTATAATGTAATTACTGATTAATTAATATTAATTAATTCATAAGACTTCCTAAATTATAATTGTTGGATGCACCAAAATCAACAGTTGAGATGCGGTGTAAGACTTATTAGTCTTACACCGTTGTAAAATGATCCAGATCCATATATATAGGGATAAACATTTCTACAACCACTTTAGATAAAATTATCTACAGCTACCCCTTTTTAACTAAGTCTGACCGGTCATACATAAAAATAACATTTTCTCTCTCCGCCACGTCAGCTGACAATATCTCAGGAGAGAGAAAAAAAGAGCAGCTTTATTGTTATAACTATGTATGACCGGTCAGACTTAGTTAAAAGGAGATAGCTGTGGATAACCTTATTTAAAGTGGCTGTAGAAATACTTTTGGTATAACTGTGTGTGTGTGTGCGTGTGCGTGTGCGTGTGTGTGTGCGTGTGCGTGTGCGTGTGCGTGTGCATGTGCGTGTGTGCGCGCGCGTGTGTGTGTAGGCTTGGCAAAAATGAGCCAACCCGAGGGTTAGGGAAAATGAGTTAGTAACTCGAGTCAGCCCGACCTGTTTCATCTCGAAAAAAAACTGAGCCAACCCACGGGTCAAACGGGTTGGCTCACGGGTTATGGTTTTTTTTTTAAATATAAAAGTATAAAAATTAATGAAGGTAAAGTGAAAAGCTAAAACCTAAAATTCCAATTTCAAAGACACAAACGAAAATACCCTGCAGCTGCCAATAAGTTCAAAATCGTGCATTAAGGACCTTTTTTATAGTATGTGGGACAGTGTGAATGTGGTGCCAACTGCCAATAAGTCCAAGTCCAAATGCAAAAGGAATTTTTTATGGTTTATCTGTATAATGTCTTTGTATTGAATGAACTAATAATTTAGGGAAAAAATTTAGAAGTTATAGTATCAATGAAATTTTTTTTTTTCGAGCCAACCTAACCCGACTTGGGTCGGGTTGGGTTGAGTTTTCTGGTTCGTTTATTTTTCGAGTAAACCCTAACTCAGCTCGTTTTTTTTGGGTTGAACGCGGGTTGGGTCGGGTTGAGTCGGGTTTAGCCGTTTTGCCATCCCTATGTGTGTGTGAAAAAAAAAAATAACTATGTACTACGGGTACTCGGATAGTACATATTTATATTATTAAAACTGCTTTATATTTTCTCTTTCCTTAAACATTGTTGGCTAACATGGCGGAGAGAGAAAAACAATTATACCATTATAACTATGTACGATCCGTAGTACATAATTATAATGGGTTGCCTAGTATAACTTTTTTCCAGCAACACGAGAAAAATGGACACACACAGATATATATATATATGTGTGTGTGTGTACACACTCACACACACACACACACATATATATATTGGGAAGGATATACTTACCACAAAAAAGTTTACCACCCTTACAACTAACTTAATCACCGTTGATTTCCGTCAATCTAACGGTTATACTTTATTGGAAATTATTGGGTTGTACTTATTAATTAATTATAAATTATAATCGTTAGATTAAGAAAATCAACGATGATTAGATTGGTTGTAAATGTGGTAAACATTTTTGGTGGTGAGTATATCCTATATATATATAAAGGGAAAAATGACAGTGATTGGACCGTTCAGTGCTCTATGTTCTCCCGCGAGAACATCGTGCACTAAATATTATAATAGTGTACTCCTGGAAGAACATAGATATAATATTTACTATATATGTGTTCTCCCGGGAAAACATAATGCACTGGACCAAATTTTATATCCCATCATTGTACACTCACTAAACCCAATGTAGATAACTTATCTACAGTGAGCCTAAAACGACGTCGTTTTGAGACGGAAATCAAGATATTTTTGTAATTATAATTTATTTCAGGGTTATAATAGTCTTTTTCATTATAATTTTTTAATTTTTCAACCAAAACGACGTCGTTTTGGAATCGAATGTATATAATTTATCTACATTTACTTTAGAAACATTAAAGCTATATATATATATATATATATATATATATATATATATATATATATATATATATATATATATGGGAAAACATTTTCTCCTTTTAAAGGAGAAAATTTTTCTCATGTTAGTGACCCATAGCATAAGTGGGTCCCACAAAATAGTGGAAAGAGAAAAAAATTCAATGTGGGACCCACTTATGCTTTAAGTCACTAACATGAGAAAAATTTTCTCCTTTAAAAGGAGAAAATGTTTTCCCTATATATATATATATATATATATATATATATATATATATATATATATATATATATATATATATATATATATATAAAAACAAAGCGTGCTTTATATTCGTCGTTAACAATACATGACTGTCCTATTAGATTAGATAGTAGAACTGAAAGTCCAAGAAAGAATCTCGTGTTCTTCAACCAACACTCCAGTGGAACCAGAGAAGCCAACGCTAACCCATTCTGGCAGAACGGTCGTCAAATCAATCAAATGTGAGAGGCTAATTGTAGGCTCATGCACAATGCTTTCAGGGTAACTTACAATCACGCTTAAATTTTGTGCTAAAGGCTCGTAGGTTACGGTGGCAAATACAGTTGTTACGCTGCTCGAAGGATCTTCATGTTGCCATGGCACTGTTTTTACGGAAACAATGGAGTTTATATCAATTCCTATATGCGCTTCGGCAGGATCCCATGGATTATGAAAGGTGTCAAATTCAACGGCAACTATTTGGTTTCTGGAAGTATCTGAGGCAGATTCAGGACTGAAGAGACCAAGATATCCACCACCTGAGTTATTGGGAATGGTAGAGTTGAGTGGTGCAATGAAGAAGGAGATCCCATCTCCAATTCCGGGACCATTTGTTGTCACAACAAAAGAGAAGGTACTGGTAAAGCTTGCTAGCTTACCAGTTTTGGGATCCCAAAGGCGCTTTGGAAGAGCATAGAAAGCTCTGCCAGCACTGCTGGGTATGATAGTGTCGTTTACAATCTTTGTGAGCTGTATAACCCCGTTTGATGCAAAGGCATCACCTTGGAAGGTAATGATGTCGTTTGTGTATGGCCCATGAAAATTGGGGAATTCGAAAGATGTCATGGAATTGTGATGCATCAGAAGGAAAGAAATGAGGATCAAGAAAACTGGCTTTGAGTTATACAAAACCATGGCTTTTATAAACTTAAGGTTGAGATATGGAGAATGGCAAAGTGTTTCACTATATAAAGAATTTTTCGTCAGCCATGAAAATAAAATTTAAATGAATCGTACGCGAATAGAAGTAGCCAAATAACTTACATCGGCACTTGACACTACAAAGGAAGAATGGTGATTAAAACAATGTCAATTGACTTTGCATATGACTGGCCTCAATAGACATGTTTGATAGTGCATTTAAAATGCCAACCAATATTTTGCAAACTTATTTGTCATGTTGATTGATTAATTTTGAGGCATCATATTATTGTTTAGCATTCCTTAGTAATATAAAGCATTTTATCATATCTTCCCTTTAAATATTAGAAAACAAAAGAAAGAAGTTGACCCAAAGAGTACCTGTTGCCTTGCTTACAGTTGTGCAAGTAATGCGCGTAAGTATACGCGACAACAAGTAATATAGGGCTTTTGTGAGTCCCAGTAATCGTTCCCACAAGGATCTTTGCGTTTTAACTTAAAATAAATGGTAATTGCTAAAAGAACTAAAAATAAAAATTAATAAAATTAAATGCTACTACTTTTCTCAACTAATGAACTGAAAATGTTTTTGTAGTGATTTTCTCTTTTTAAAACAATGGTTTAATTGGTGACAGGTTCTTTAACTACTGCCTAGAAAAATGACTTAAATAAAAAGCTGGAAAAATATTTTTTTTAATGGTTTTCTTTTAAGTTTAGAAACAGAAAAAATAATTTCAGATTTTGATGAAAAATAATAAGTGACAAAAATTGATTTTAAAACAGTATTTGAAAAAGAGTTGGGTGTCAATTTTCCCTTCCCTCATTTGTTATTGGGATGCTTTAACAAAGCACAAAAAATGCTCCCAGCTTAACGAAAATATTAAGGTAATTGTTGTTTCCCAACAACAATTTTCTTCCACTGACAACAGTTGGCATATCCCTATGTCACTGTTGTCATAGGATCTTAAAGAACAATTTTCACAAGTTACATGGGGGTAACTTCATCACTGAATCCATACCCATTGAGAGAGATTTTTCTCTCAACTTTCCATGTGCTCACAGTGGGGTCTAATGTGAGTTATTTCCCAATAACCTCACACCACTAAGAGCTGACTATGTGTGATCATCACATAGTCAAACTCAGCAATAAACATGCACAGTAAACAAGCTGAAAACAACCATGTAAACATTAAAACATCATCCAATAATAGTGAGTTCCGGGTACTTTTTCCAACCCAACTCTCAGAAAAATTAGCTCATCACCACAGGTTGATGAGCTAAAATACAGCAAGTGTTCATAATGAAAATAGAAACTTTAAAAGGTACTGGAAATAAAAAACTCAGGAACTATCAACAGCCGATAGTCCTGACCACAGTGCTCATAAAATTTACAAAATAAAAATACTACAAATAAAGACAGAAAAACTAAAAATATTCTCAAAGAGCAGAAAAATAAAATCAGCGAAGAGAAGAGAGGTAGGGAGAGAATGTCCTACAAAATGCCCTCTGTCCCTTTCTTATAGCTGCTCCAAAATCAGCTCTCCCAAACGTACGCTCTTTGCTCCCATCGATCGTGGGTGTCCCTTGCACGATTCAGAAACACACTCCAAAAGCAGCTCCAGCCACTAACGATCTCCAGCTCATCAACTCTTTTGGATTTTTCTGTATTGAACCAAAAATCGATTAGGTCTTGTGTTGGTTGGTTCGATTCAAGAATTGAACCGCGATGGAGGGTTAGGGTTCTGTGTCTTCAGTGAAAATCAGAGGGTGTTTCGGTGAGGGGAATCTAGAAGGAACGGTTGAGATGAAGGTCTAGATGGAAATGGGTTTTCTTGGACGGTTTGAGAGCTAGGGTTTTTTTTCTTCTTTCTTTGTTTCTGATCTATCTCTTACGATTCTGATCTGTCCCTTTTGCTCCTCTTTCTTTTCTTCTTTTCAATTTTTCTTTTCTTTCCTTCTTTGGGCCGCTGATGGATTAAATTTCCTGGCCCATTCTCTTCTTGTCTTCTTTTCTTTTCTTCCAATTCTGATTTGTCTTTTCTTTCTTTCCTCATTTTCGGGCTTCTGATCAGCAAAATAATGGCCCAATTTTCCTTTAGTCTTTTTGCATAGAGAATCATAACCAATTAGGCCTAAAACACAAAAGAAATCAGCCCATTAACATTTTTAACCAACAAAAGACAATTCACACAAAGTTGGGATATTTTATTCACAAAATCAATTCATTTTCCTTCATTTGCAATATAATCCATATGTTCTAAGTCTCAATTAAGAGACTTATACACCCCCAAACTTAAGTTGTTACTTGTCCTCAAGGAACAAATGCAATGCAACACCACAATTTTTTCAAAACAGTTCCTTAACAACAAGCAAATCTTTCATTTCTCATAAAACATGCTTCCAAACAGAATTCTCATGATCTAGATTTTCAGTCAAACAGACAACTTTGAATCACCAAACACAAATATTCACTTCTCTTTTTTTTTTCTTCTTCTTCACAGCAGTGTAAAACAGACATCAGATCTTAACTTTCACTAAATGACATGCAATTAACTCAGCCAAAGTTTATGCATCAATCAGAAAAGAGGATTGTAGTTACAGCATACAAACAATTTCAATGATCAGTGTGACTTTAATCTTCAAGTATAATCAGTGGCAAATGAACAATAACAAGGAGGACCTTAACTCATCATTTCATAATACGGAGAACTACATCTTCACAAAAGGCATATGAGAATGGCTAAAACTCTCTCCTCACATATTTTCATCACTCAATAGTGCAGGGAGCTGTTTTATCTCACACCTCTACTGGGAATAGCCTCAACATAGGCTTGACAAGTTGCTTTGGCATTTGGATGACACACAAATGAGACTTCAATCAGAGGGGCTTTATGGGTTGTATTTTGGCTTGGATCAAGGTTAGAAATGTATGGATGAATGGCTAACTCAGCTATGATGGACAAGGGATGCAATCAGACAACTTAACTAGACATTTCCATGGCTGCCAAAAATTTATTCTCTTGTCCTCTTTTTTCTTTTTGTACAAATTTTTTTTTTTAAATATATAGTGTACAATCACATCCTTTTCTCTCAGCCATGGAACTGAATTCACTTTTCAATGGATTGCAACTTCACAAAAATTTTATTCCATCATAACTAAGTGGGAAGGTGGTCATTAGATGGGGAAAAAAATTTTAGGGAGTAAAAAAAATCCAGCTACAGGCTCAAAGTGGGTTAATCAAAGGCCAAAAATTAAAGGTTGCTTTTTTTTTTAAATGGGTTAATCAGAAGAAAGTTTGCCCTCTTCATCTTAAAGCTTACTTGTGCCTCAACTAATTACCCAACATCAAATCAAGTTCTGTTTCTTCTACCCCAGAAAGGAACTTCACAAGAAAAAAAATCAACTGTTTAGGATTCAAATCCTCACTAGGCTAGGCTCAATCACCAACTCACTTGCCTCTTGTTCCAACTTCATTCTCAGCCTCATTCATTTTAGCTCTCAGTCTCCCAATGTTATTATCTCACTGCCCTCATTCAACTTGTCCACTTCCATCACACTTTTCACAAAAAATTTCTTCTCTTTTCTACCAAAAAATATATTCAATCCAATCCTCTCATTAACTTTCCAAACAACTGCTGAATTCTTTGCAAGTCCTTCCTACATTTACCTCACTAATTTACTTCAAACAACAAATAATCTCTACCTAACTCAAAACAACCAAATAAATAGAAAACCTCCTACAACTCTAAAAATAGCAAATCCAATCAAAACAAAGAAAAATCAGCAAACAAAATACAAATACCTAAAAACAGCAACTGAAACAGAAGAAAGGAATTAAAAAAAATTCTAAAGAGCAAACATGGTTCACCAGCAGACATGGTTCAATAGCAGAGTACTCTCCCCCAAACTTATCTTCAACAGTGTCCTCACTGTTGTGCCTCATACAAGTTACACAAACAAAAATTTTGCAAGTAAGATCAGTGTAACCTGAGGCCAGAAGAAGTTCTGGCCTATTCCTCTTGATAATCTGAGTCACCTGACTCAGATTTATCCACATCTTCAGATTCTGATTCTGAATATTGCATTTCTTCCTCTTCTTCATTGTCACTCACTTCCTCCATGGCAGCTTTTGTCCTCGGCCTTCCCCTCTTCCTTGAGCTAGATGAGGGGTCCTCCTTTTTGGTAGGCTGAGGAGTTGCCTCTTTCCTTGTAGATTGAGGCTGAGGAGGATTACCAGCAGCTCTTGCCATGAATTCTTTAACCTGAGGATCAACAAACACTGAAGAAGGTGGCCAGGTTAAATCTTGAGGTAGTGAAAGCAAACCAGGGAAATTCACAAAAGTGTTTTTCAAAAAATCATTCAACACTCTGTCCCTCTGTACAATATAATCATGAAATCTGGTTCTATCATACATGAAAGAATAAAATTGATCGTAAGTTTTTTGAAACAACAAGTCAATTTTTTTATTATGATCTTGCATTTGTAAGAGCACTTTGTGTATATGAACCAGATCATTGTGAAGCCAGCCAGGTGGAAAATGGTTTTCAGTGGGAGGACCCATAGTCTCAAGGTGCTTTGCAATATTCTCAGCTTTCTGCCTCTGAGGACTCTCAGCACTAGGGACAAATTTTCCTTTCGTCTTTGGAGGAGAAGATTGAGTCTTCTCCTCTTCAACCACCCCTTTCAATTTTTCTTTACACACTGTTTTCAATTTTTTTCTCTTCAACCAAGGGCTCAGCAATGCCTTTTTTTAATTTATTAATGATTTGAACAGTGATAGCCTCACGCACTTGAAAGAACTCATCAGCTGCATTTGCTGAGACACCTTTTTTCTTGCATAACTGGGATATGAAGCTGGGGAACCGGAGCTTGCCTTTTCTACCTCCAGCACAAGCTCCAATTCCCGAAAAAACTAATTTGGCAGCATCTACTGGTTTCCCAACCAATAAACACCACAACAAAATAGCCCTATCCTTAGTCACTAAATTTACA